GATTTGTGAATCTGAGCACTCCCCCCCTCTCCCCTGACATGATCTCCATTTTCCAAACAAGAAACAAAAACAAAACAGGACAAAGAAGCTCCTTAGAACACGGAACTGCAGCCAAGCCCTTAAATTTAAGAAAACATACTGCGTGAGTTACTGATATTTCACTAGTGATTTCAGAGCTGGTGAAGCTCCAGAGCTCTTTCTAAAATGCCCCACGTAAGGCCAGTGTTAGAACAAGTAAGAGTGGAGGTGCCATGGTGAATGCAGCGGAGACGTGGCTGGCAGCACAGCCTGCCAGGGCCTTTCTCGGTCCCCGGGGAAGCCTTGGGGCATAAGGCTCTGAAGACCCTGGGTCAAAGGGACACACACTGGGAGAGACTGACTCCATCAAAAGGATTGTTGCAACATATCTCTGCCACCGAAGTATTTAAATATGTAAAAGGCAACATATGCAAAAAAATTAAAGTTTTTAATCTTACGAATTTAATCAACGAGGGGTCCTTAAAAAGAAAATTCTTTAGCCTACTGTTATATCTGGATCATTATTTTTCCTAAAGAGATAGAACCGTGTACCCTAAGCTCAGTTAATGGCACTAACCTTCACTCCTCTTTTGCCACATCTCTCTTCAGAGGTGGCCCTGCATTTATTCAGTTTTAAGTTCTGTTCATTCTACTCTTGAGTGCCCATCAGATCCATCCTTTCTTCATTCTCTCAGAAGCTGTCTTAACTCAGACCCTTATCAATTCTCCCCCTGTATCCTAAGGTGATCACTGTAAAAGCCAACAATATTGATGACTTCGCTCACCTGCTCAAACTCCTCCAGTGGTACTCCAGTGTTTACAGGGTCAAATCCACACCACTTGGAGTACCCCAAAATCTGTGTGGATCTGGACCCTTACTCCCTATTCAGGTCTCCCTCAGAAGAACCCTCCCCAGCAGCATCATGAACCCGTGTGCCTCTGTGCTTTTGCACTTATGTTCTTGCTGCTTCAAATGCCCTTTATTCTAAATATTTCCACAACCCTGAAGTCATCCCTCCTGCTACTTTTCCACTTGGCCTCTGCACATCCTTCAAGATTCAGCTCCTAAGTTCTCCTGTAAATTTCTCCCTGGTGTCCTTGAATGGAGTGGGCACTCCTTTCTTTATGCTATCTTATTATATTACATAAAACCCTTTTATAACATATATTTCATTGTATTATAATCATCTACTAACAAGTATTCTTTATCCCCCCACACTGTGAGTTCTTCAAGGAAAATAATTATTTTTAGTCATCTTTGCATCCACAGAATTAGCTGGTACTTAGTAGCAGTCAATGCATGTTTAAAGGATGAATGAATGAGTATATGAATGAATACATGTGCTGGGAAATCCAGATAAAAGGTAAAGACTTTTATCAACTCATTTTTGTGAAGCTGATGGGTCAGTTCAGCCTTGACCCTGTTCCCACACTTGATTTGTTCATTTGGGTACTCATTCATTGATTTAACAAATATTTGTTGAGTGCCTGCCATGTTTCAGGGACTGGGCCAGGCATGGAAGGTCACAAATAATAAAATATACTCCTACTCTCAAAAAATGTATAGCCTAGAGGGGGCATCAGATAAAATACACGTGCCATCAAGAGCCACAGGAGGGACAACAGAGCAGTGGGGCAGGATGGACATTGAAGAAGGGCATGGTGTGTCCAAATGGGGCAGGCTTCCTTGTAGAAGGGCTTCCTGAGATGTGTCCTGAGAGACAAGCATGACAGCAAGGTAGAGGAAGGCAGAGTCAACCAAGACTGTTTGTGCAAATGCCATGGAGAAGAAGTGTGCTGTAGTTAAGTGAAATGGACATAATTTGAGGCATGGTTGTTACAAACCCGGGCTCTTGAAGGCAGACTTATATGGAAATTTTAATTCTCTACCTGTGTGTCTTTGGGAACACTACAACTGCTGTTAAGTGGCATAGTAATAGTACCTACTTGGTAGGAGTGCTGTGAAAATTAAGTAAAATTAAGCAAAAAGTAAGTGAAATAATACTTGGAAGTCCTTGATGCAGTATCTGGAGCATCATGACTTTGATGATAGTGATAATGATGATGATTGCTGGGGCTATAACACGGAGGCACGGTACAAGACGAGTCTGAACAGGTAGGCATGGCCCAGCCTACAAGAATGGAAGAGAATTGTCTACAGCGTGCCATGGAGTTTGGAATTTAATCTGTAGAAGCTGATAGAAAATCATGGGAGAATTTTAAGCAATAAAGTGCTAAATTACCAGATTTGCATGTTAAGATCCCCCAGGCAGCTGTACGAGGGACAAAATCGAAATTAGCACAAGATGATCGATGACAGCTGGGTGGAAACAACAGCTGGGGGAATGGTAAGGAGACGACAGACCGCGGAGATGTTAAAGAAGTAGAACCAAGTGGACTTGGTCCCGTACAGTTGACGGAGGAGAAAGATATGGTTGAAAAGGACCCTTAGATTTCTGGGTGAAGTAACCAAAGTGGGAAAACCATTCGCCAAGAAAGGAAACACAGGGACTGGAACCAATTTGAGGAGAAATGTGGGTTTCGTTTCAGATGTCAAGTCTCAGGATAAGGAAGATCCAAGTGGAGCTGCACGTAGGCTATTAGTAGATGCAGGCTGGACTTACAGATGTGAAAAGCAATAGCATATTACTTATCGTTACTTGAAGGTATAGAAATAGACTTGTTCATCTGGAAAAGCAACTAAAGCCTGAAAAGAGGAGAACTGAAAGAAAACAAGAGGAACTTTAAAGGGACAGGCAAAGGGAAAAAGGGAAGGGGAAACTAGTGTATCTTTGGGTGACTATGTCATGGGGGAAAATATCTTAAGAATAAACCCCCTCTCAAGAAGAGACTTTGAGTTAGTTTTAAAGATGGCTGGAAGGATTCTCTCCTACAGTTTTACAGCCAATTCTATTGAGAAAAAAATCTTAGCAGGATTGTTGAGTCTGGGTCATTTACAAAATGGTTTAGAAACTGCCCTGTATCAGAGAATAGATCTGAATTAGCCAACTTTGAGACTTCATTTTGGGAAAAAGAGGGTAGCCATGTTTCTGCATAAAAATCTCGAGATAATTCTGGAAATAAACAAAATGCCTTATACTACAATATGAAGCATACTTCATTTAGCTGGAGATTACAGAAAGCAGTGAGGTGCTGAAATGGTTCAAATGGTAAAGTGTATGAAGAATGTTGGCCTCTAGAGTACTTTAAATGGGTGATAACCATAAACACTCAAGTTGTGGGGGAACAATGAAAAGCGGGAGAGTGGGTTCATCAGTCAGGAGATGGAAAGATAGAGGGAAATATATAAAACAATCCAGCAATTTTTTTTCATATTCTCTCACCTAGAAACTAATTGTGACAAATTTTATTAACATATTCTGATGTATTCAAGACATTCTAGGACTACAGACACACATTATATGTAATATACAGGTAATAATTTTATTGCACATTTATATGCTAAAGTTCTCTGGAGATTTTAATTCTGCCTTCTGGTTCCCCTATCTTACCCCCACCCCCAACAATCACTCTTCTATCATATCTCTGATTTTATCATCTGTTGCCTTTACACACTTATACTATATGAAGTTATCTTGCTTATTGATATGTTTTTATGTTTATTTCTCCCCATCACTCAATAAAAGTGTCGAATGAAAGGAATAAATGAAAAATTTTTTAATTCCATTTTTACCAGAGAGGACTCCCCTGATCACTCTGCCTAAAATACTACCCCTCAACATTCCCTCTATCTTTATCTACGTTGTTTTCCTCTTAACATTCATCATCATCTGATGGCATTTTGTATTTCTTTATTGATTTTGTCCCTCTTTCCCCTCATCGACACATGAGTTCATCGGCAGCAAACTGTTATGTTCACTGCTGTATCATATCTCCCCCCCCCACCCCCCGAGAGTAGGTAGACTCTCCTAAGTAGGTTAGGTTTTTTACTTAACAAAAGTTTT